CGGGGCCGGGCCGGCCGGCGGATCCCGCACGCCCTGCGCTGAGCTCGTCCGCGAGCCGGGCTGCGGCTGTTGCTCGGTATGCGCCCGGCTGGAGGGCGAGGCGTGCGGAGTCTACACCCCGCGCTGCGCCCAGGGGCTGCGCTGCTATCCTCACCCGGGCTCCGAGCTGCCCCTGCAGGCGCTGGTCCTGGGTGAGGGCACTTGCGAAAAGCGCCGGGACGCCGAGTACGGCGCCAGCCCCGAGCAGGTTGCAGGTAACGCGGGCTGGGACAACTAGTTCGGAGAAACTTGGCAGGGCGCGGGGGCGCCTGGCTGGAGGCCGTTATGTAGGGAACGAATGTGCGGCGGGGGCGGGGGGAGGCGAGGGTAGTTTCAGGGAGTGTGTCAGGGGAGGGAGAGCGGAGTCCTTGACCAGCTCTTGGGGGATCGTAGGGAGGGGGCTCCCGAAAGTCAGGCCTGGCGAGGGGACTGGGACTTCGACCTTGCGGAAGAGCCCTGGCTACTAATTTGGGGGGGCTACCGGGGGAGAGAAAAGGCACCCCTGCTACCATAGTCTTCCCCGGCTGGAACGTACCCTGTCTTTTATTTTGGTGGGAGGATTTAGTGTTGACGAGGGTGTTGATCAGATCTGTGGGAGTATTAATCTTGAGGCTGATTTGGGGGTACAGCTTGAGCCGATGATCCGAGTCCGGAGGGTCCTTTGCGAAGGGCGCTGCTGGGGGCGGAAGCTGCGGGTGCTGGCCCCAGGAGGGACCTCGGGTGAAGAAGAGGGCGCTAGGAGGAGGGACCGGAGTAGAGGGTCCGGACCCTTCCTTCTACTGGGGTTGTGAGGCGGGAGGAAGGATTTCGTGGTACTTTGTAGGGTGTGCTGTCTAGGGGAAAACTACAAACTCCGCTGTTATTTTACATAGATTACGAGCAGAGCTCTTGCTATTGTATTGGATGGAAAAATGAAAGGGGGGCATTTGGTAGGCGAAGAGGAGATCCCAGCATTTGAGTTAATGTAACTGAAGCCTTCGGATCGCCGGCTGGAATCTTGGGGCGGAGACAGCCGGGCTGAGTGGCTTTGCTTGGGGGCCCCGGGGCGGAAGGCTGGAGGATCCCTGGGCAGTGGAAGCAGTCATTGCGGGGCACCGTGTGAGCTCCTCACTCCGCTTCTAAATCGAGGGAACTCTTCCTGTCCGATAGAACCGGGGTCCTCCGGGGTTCTTAGTAAGGGCACCTCATTCCTACGAAAAGTTCCGTAGGGGACAAAACCAAGCTACAGGGGGTTTCACTTATTTTCAGATGACAAAAACCTCCTGCCCTAGTGGTCTGGAGGAAGCTGTAATTATCTTCTCTCTTCTTGGAGACAGTGGTGAAATGTGCCCACTGCCTGCCTGCTGCTGTTGTTTAAAAAGCAACTTGCTCAAACTTAAAAAAAAAAAAAAAAAAGTGAAAACATTTATGCGTGCTTCGCAGACCCCCGCGATTATTGCGCGCCACCCCCCAGCTCTCCCATCCTTTAGTCCCTCCACGGCTCTCCCCCCCGTCCCCGCGGGTTTCTGTCCTGGTTCCTGTGGCCTGCTATTGTTTTTCCCTTGTTCTTGAGAATGGAATTAGGGGTCAGGGTTGAAATCTTCCTTCTGTTTCTCTGGCTCGTTTTGACCTTGAGTGCTGAGCGAGTTGGGTCTTCCTCTGAGTGGAACCTCTCAGTTTCTTTATTCTCCCTTCTGCTTACTTCCCGCGCCAGCCGGCAACGCCATTAACCCTTCCCTCCAGCTCCTCTGAAAAAGGACAATAAATGAAAAAAGACTCTGCAAAAGTCGTTTCCCTGCGGGTCGCCTTCCCCCACTCACACGTTCTTCCTCGCTGCGTTTTGTTCTCCGTCTCCCGCTCACACTCACCAAGGCGATTTCTGATCTTACTCTGACAAACTAAACATCTCCATCAGCAGGAGGAACTTTGCAAAAGGCCTCTGGGTTCATAGAATCGTTTGGATTTAGACTGTCTTAATAAAAAATGTGTGGTGCATTTCCTTCCTAAATGTTTTCGTATTTTTTTCCACACTTAATTCATTTTATGCCTGAAAACCAACTCTTCCTCTTCCCAGACTCCAGCAGCAGGTTAGGGAACAGATGTGGGGAGACTCTCCCACATTCACTTCT